AGAAAAGTACCACGCCAACCCAAATGTGTCATTTCAAACATTAGAGCCCATTAAGAAGCAATGTGTTGAAGGGTGACCAGTCAAAAAGCTCTGAGATACAAAAAAAGCTTTTCATCTCTATAAGGTGGGCTGAATTCTGGAGAACTATTAGTTGCACAATTGCCTGAAGAGTTTAGCTGGAGAGCACAGCTCATGGCACATCCCTTTCACCAGCAAAACATGGAGAACACTGAGCTGACACAACCTGGATGAAAATGAGCTTTTCTGATGCAACTGATCCAGGAGCAGAAAAATTTAAATGCCCACTTACATTTTAGAAGCAATCTTCAACAGACCACACAGAATAAATGGGTATTATTACCATAGAAAAATGGATGAGTTGGACCAGAGACAAAGGACACCGAGTTAGAGATCTTATTATTGTCTGTTCAGGTTTACAAACATGTTGCAAATCTCTTGAAACACAAAAGATTCCTGGTTTTCATTTTAAAGCCATCACACTTCATCTTCTTATGAGCACAATTCAAGAAATCTGACCCTAGCACAAGAACAGAGCTCTGTTGACCAGACTGGATCCCAATGACACATGTGCTTATTAGCTCCTTCCCTGGTGTTTGTACCTACATTACAAACATCTACAGGGAAATGGACTGTGTGTGGACATGGCCTCTCTGGCAGAGGATTGGACTCCATGTAGACATGTCAGGAAGAAGGACTACCTGATGCACACACTTCATGGTCAGGTCCAGTTGACATCACCACACTTCCTGTTTTTGCTGCTCTAATACCAGGTGTTTTGGACTTCAGCTCCCACAGTTCCTAATAGCTGGTAAGTTGGCTGGAATTTCTGGGAGTTAAAGTCCAAAACACCTGGAGGCCCAAAGGTTGAGAACCACTGCCCTAAAGGCACCAGATCTTGTCTGATCTTGGAGACTAAGCAGGGTCAGCCCTTGTTAGTACTTGGATGAGAGATCACTAATGAATAGCAGGTGTTGTGGACTATATTTCAGAGAAAGGAACTGGCAAAACCATCTCTGAGTGTTCCTTGCCTAAGAATTCTCTATGAAATTCATGAAACAGCCATAAGCGAGTTTCCCATAAGCCAACAGGCAACTTGAAGGCACATAACCACACGTCTGAGTTGCAGAGCCAGTGTGGTGTAGTGACTTGGACATTGGACTATTATTCTGGAGACCAGGGTTCAAATCTCCACTCAACCATGGGAAACCAATGAGTTACCATGACCATGTCACATCTCGGGCTACATCTAAACTGTAGAAGTAATGCAGTTTGGCACCACCAAGTGCCATGACTTAATGTTATGGAATCATAGGAGTTGTACAAGGTTTTTAGACTTATCTGCCAAAGGATGTTGGTTCCTCACCAACTACAGCCCCTCAGGGTTCCATAGCATTGGGTTGTGGCAAATAAAGTGGCGATAAACTGCATTAATTCTACAGTGTAGATAAACATTTGGACCCAGAAGAAGATAATGACAAACTCTTCTGAATAATTTTTACCAAGAAAATCCTGTGATGGGTTTGCCTTAGAGTTGCTGTAAGTTGGAAACAAGTTGGCGCACAACAACAATATCAGAGAAACAGAGATGGAAACGGCAAAGAACTAGGTCCAAATCTAATAACCTGCTGACACAATGGTTACAATTTGAAATGTATCTGCTAAGAGAAGAACAAAGTCAGTGTGGGCATCATGCAGTCCCCTGGGTATTGCTGGATTGCATGTCCCAGCAGCCCCAGATAACATTGCCATTGGGGAAGAATGCTGGGATCTGAATCTGGAGGGTCACATGATTCTCACCCCACCCTAAAGGGTTTTAAATAATCCTCCTAAATATGTAATACTATATCAATCCATTTATTATAGAACAAATATCTAAAACACTTGGGAGGAAAAAGGAGAGACACATTTAAAAAAATAACACATTTGAAGTGGAAATGTATGCCAATTGTCTAAAAATGCAGAAATGTGAAATACCAGGAGGTGGGTTGGTGGGTGGGATGGGTAAGGACAGAGAAATTGGGCGGGGGGGGGGGGGGGGGGGGGGGGGGGGGGGAATTCATTGTTTTACCATCACAGTTTGATTTTTCTGATTTTTTAAAAAGAGTGTGTGGAGTATTTTCATTCAGAACAATAAATGTTGAAGACAAGGTATTAATATATTTATTCCCTCCTTATTATATCTAAACCAGTGCAGAAAATAGTATTTTATGTTGGGTGAGATATTACTCAAAATGGCGGTCAATATACCAGTGGGTGAATTATCATCCAGTCCAAAGCAACTTTTCAGGAAAGAAAAAAACCACACGTTTGAAGGAAAAAAAGACAGTTCAGCCCATCAGCTTGGGAAGCGTAGATATGCAGTATCAGATCAATGCATTTCTTGGTTATGGTTTCCCCTTCTTTTTATAGGAATGAGTGTTTTATCTCTGCTGGTACCATAGAGGACTTATGGGGACAAAATAATTTTCTTTGTGTTGTGGAAGGCTTTCATAGCCGAAATCACTGGGTTGCTGTAAGCTTTCCGGGCTGTATGGTCATGTTCCAGAAGCATTTTCTCCTGATGTTTCACCCACATCTATGGCAGGCATCCTCAGAGGTTGTGAGGTCTGTTGGAAACTAGGCAAGTGAGGCTTATATGTATATCTGTGGAATGTCCAGGGTGGGAGGAAGAACTCTTGTCTGTTGGAGGCAAGTGTGAATGTTGCAATTGACCATCTTGCCTCAAACAGACAAGAGTTCTCTCCTCCACCCTGGATATTCCACAGATATATAAAAAATATCACTTGCCTAGTGAAAGGTCAGAAGATAATGCTCCTGGAACATAACCAAACAGCCTGGAAAATTCACAGCAACCCAGTTTTCCTTTAAAGTTATGGATGTGGAGACCATTGCAAAAGAGGGATCTTCACTCTGCAGGAAGCAGTCCTGCATCATCATTGTTAATGTAATGTAAACAAATGGAGGACAGGGCTTGGCTGAGAAAACGCAGTTGGTTTGGGGAGACCTTGTTCAGAGCCATTGCTATAAGACATTAATAAAAAGCAAGCGCAAAGACCCATTACACCTCTTATAAAAGTGGGTTTTACGTGCAATGTTTTATTATATTTATTGTATGTATTTTAAGTATTTAAACCTAAGTCTGCATAGTACTATTTAATTGCTTTGCAATTTTTTTTGCCTTGTTTTGAATTGTGACCAAAGCCTATGGTTAGCCACCTTGAGTCCCCATGAGGAGAAAGGCAAGGTACAAATAAAGTTGATTATGATGATACTTGGTTTGTATATGCATTGTATGTGTGTGTGTGCATGTTTGCTACAAGACAAAGTGTCCCAGTTTCCTGGGCACATTTCCTTCTTGGAACCAGCCCTGGTGAGAAATATCTCCCTTCTCTCATTCTTCTCTAGGCTGGAGCATTTCCAAAAGCAGAAGCTTTTGATCAGAGCGAATCTCCTCGTTTTGCTTTGTGTGCATTCTCAAGTTTCCAAATGCCCAGATGGGGCAGTCTCAGGCTGAGGGAACAGATAAGGACCACAGCACCACCTTTACTCAAACTGACCTGCTTTTTACTCTTTGCATAAAGCATAACACTTAGGAGAGAATGCTTCTGGAACACGGCCATACAGCTGGGAAAACTCGCAGCAACCCGTAACACTTCAGCTATTCCTCTGCCTGCAAAGGCCACATGTTAAATGGCTTGAGAGTTGCAAGGGCTGGAATGGGTTTGTGGGGTCATACACTAGAGACCTCTACAATGATCAAGAGTCTATACATTATTGGCCTATTCATTCAGTCTGAAAATCATTAACATCAAACGGATTAGAGTTCAGCATTGTTTCAGGTGCGTTGTGCATCTGATTAAAGAAAGTTTGCTCAGAGACACTAATGGTGTGTGCTTGAGTTCACTTGGCAAAGCTTAATGAACTCCCGACTTTAATCCATCTTTGTCACATTGTGACTAAGCTGTGGGTTTCCCACTAGCTCAGGCAAGGGCAAACAGGCCCTCCGGGTGTTCTGGACTGCAACTCCCACCATTCCTAACAGCCTTGGGCCCCTTCCTGAAAGGAAAGGGCTGTTAGGAATGGTGGGAGTTGAAGTCCAAAGCACCTGGAGGGCCCAAGTTTGCCCATGCCTGCACTAGCCTTTCCATGGCATGTATGCCTACCCATGGAGAAATACAGGTCTCCTGGATGGATTCTCAGGAAGTGCCATGTGGGCATTCTTCAGTATATGTGGTGCCTGCAAGAGAAGCTACACTCCTTGCAGCTACAGGTGAGGAAACAGGATTGGAGTTATAGCTATCAGAAGGGGACCCAAAGAAAGAAAGGAAGGACGGACGGAAGGAAGGATCTCATCCCTCCAGCTACTTTCCCTTCAAAACTCACAAATGGTCCACAAAGGTGGCTGAGATAGAGACCCATTCGCTTTCAGACCCCTTTCTCACACTTGATTTTCCTGGAGAGCTATGAAAGGTCCCTCAAGTAGGACTTCTGGGGCACCTCCAAGAGCCCCCTTTTGGGGACGGGCTTTAATGGAGAGAGTTGACAGAGTCAATGGGTCCCACCACGCTACCATTGATGTCCAGGGCTGGGAAGAAAGCAACCCAGAGAGGCGTAAAAGGAGGGCTCCCCAGGGCCACCCCGGGATCCCCCTGGCTTTCTCTCGCATCCCCGACCGATGCCTTTCCCTTTCCTCGGGGAACACCCGTCCATTAGTCCCGATCCCCGGCTTAGTGCCCAAACCGACGGTTCCCTTCGGCTTTATCCCGGATTAACGGGACGGAAAAGGATGCCCACTCTCCGAGCTGGGCGCCTAAGTTGCGAGAGCAGCGTGCCCTGGATCCACAACTGGGGGCGGGAGAGAGAGGCTTGCCAAGGCTGGGGCTCCCACTGATGCAAAGAGTCCGGGGGTGGCCCCTGCTTCTCTCCCGCCGGCCTTGCCTCGCATGGGGACGGGGAAAGGGGGCACCCGGGGGTCTTGCCTGGATGGACGCCTGGACGAGTCTCCCGGCTGCTCCTGGCTGCTCCTTCCCCGCGGGCTCCGCTCCACCGCCTGCCCCGCTAACCCGGCTCCGGCTCTCAATCTCTCGATCTCCCTCCCTCTCTCTCTCTCTCTTTGCTCTCTCTCCTCCTTCCCTTTGTGTCTTCAGAACGAGTTTAAGCTGGTCACATGGGGACCCAACCTGGCGCGGCGCGGAGGACCCTGACGTCACGCGCCCAGCTGGTAAAGGAAGGGAGGGAAGGAGGGAGGGAGTGGGAGAGAGAGAGAGTTTGGGGGAGCCCGAAGTTCCTTCCCCGGCTCCTCCCTCCCTCCCTGCCTTCCCTGCCTTCCCTCGTGGAGATGCAGACAAAAGGCAGGCAGGGCGCAGGCTCCAAGATGGGCCCCCCACTTTGTGAAGAGCCCCACCCCGATCCCCCCAAGAATCATAGAAGAGATCCCAAGGGCCACCCAGTCCACCCTTCTGCCCTGCAGGGACACCCGGGTGACCATCCAACTTTTGTATTGTCCAAGGCTTTCATGGCTGGAATCACTAGGTTGCTGTAGGTTTTTTCGGGCTATATGGCCATGTTCTAGACTGAGGCATTCTCTCCTGACGTTTCGCCTGCATCTATGGCAAGCATCCTCAGGATTGGAGGAGGGAAGGAGTTGTTTTTTTTAAGAGGTTACTCTTGAAATGATAGTGAAGAAAGTGTTTGCAACCAAAGAAATGTATGTGTTGCTAGTCAGGAAAGAGGGAAGGGAGATGCACTCAAAACCCTTCTTGCTTGGCACCTCAGTTTGTGCTGGAGACAAAGGGGAGGCCAAAAGGTTACTTTCCAGTCCCTTGGAAGCACCCTTCTCCATTCCAATGGAGGAAAAGAAAAGAAGAGGGGATGATGGAGGAAGTAACTCCAGCTGAACAGTGAGGATGAACTGTAAGAGCTGCTTAAGAGTGTTGCGGAGTTCCCTTCTATATTATGAAGGTTTTGGAGCAAAAGTTGGATGGGCTGTTGTAGGTTTTTTCAGGCTATATGGCCATCTAGTGTGCCTCAACTTATGGTGGCCCTATGGATGAGAGACCTCAAAGTCACCACGTGACCAAAACCCCTGCTCAGGTGTTGCAAACTGAGGGCCAGGGCTTACTTGATTGCCTCTATGCACCTGAGTAGCATCTTTATCTTTCCATATTGTCTTCTGCTTTACCAAGCATTTTTGACTTTTCTAGTGAGCTATATCATGATTATGCCCCAACTGAGTGAAGGAAGATAGATGCTTTTGAACTGTGGTGTTGGAGGAAAATTCTGAGAGTGCCTTGGACCGCAAGAAGATCCAACCAGTCCACACTTCAGGAAATAAAGCCTAACTGCTCATTGGAAAGAATTAAATTAGAGGAAAAGATGAAGTACTTTGGCCACATCATGAGAAGATAGGAAACCTTAGACAAGACAATGATGCTGGGGGAAGTGGAAGGAAAAAGGAAGAGGAATCGACCAAGGGCAAGATGGATGGATGGCATCCTTGAAGTGACTGGCTTGCCTCTGAAGGAGCTGGGGGTGGTGACAGCCAACAGGGAGCTCTGGCGTGGGCTGGTCCATGAAGTCACGAAGAGTCAGAAACGATTGAATGAATAAACAACAAACATGAAAGTCTCAGTTCAGTCATCTGGCTTCTATGGTAGGAAGGGTTCAGGCTTGATTGGCTTTAGGACCGTGATGATGAACCTATGACATGCATGTCAGTACTGACACGCGTAGCCATTTTCAATGACACGTGGCCACATGTGGCCCCATACAGAGAAATATGGGGCTGCATGCCAAGAAGGATGTTTCATCTTCAGTTCCTGCATGGCCAGGTGTAGTAGCTGAGGATGAAACATTTGCTGTAGTGTAATGTAGACACTTTGTGCTGGAGGTCTATAGGCCAAAACAACAGAAGTCTGGCACATAACATATAGTTCTGGAACTTCCAATTAGGCCATTAGGAGATCATTGACCAGGGGAGCAGGGAGCAGCAGAATGCTACAAGGGATGCATATCTGGGGGCCCTGTGATCGCCATTACCAGCAACCACATAACCACAGCAACCATCACCCAATCTACTGTTCTGGGGTGTTGTGGATTTCTAATTGACCATCATTTCTGAGAAAAACAAGGGGGAGGCTGGGAGAGGCGAGGGCCTGGGCAGATTGACAGATGAAGTTAGTAGTGCTTGCTTGGGTCTGAAGTGTACAAAATACCAACTTTCAATTGAAGATTTAGCCAATGAAATTTAGCAACAAAAATTCATTAATGGGCAGGTTAGTTAAAGAATTCCCCTTCCCCCTCACTTATCTCAGGTCACGGCACCCCACACAAGTTAAATAATATCAAGACCAACAAAAGGAATCTGACTGACGGATGAACAAAGAAGTCATTAAACAGGTAAGTTAAATATTTAGTTTTTGGTTTATTAAATACAGTTATATATTACAATTCTATATTTTTATTATTTAAACTATAAATATCGCAAAATTATGGTTTTTTCCCTCAAAGTGACACGCCACCCGAGTTATGCTTGTTTTTTTTTGGTGAATTTTGACACACCAAGCTCAAAAAGTTGCTCATCACTGCTCTAGGACTTATTCGTTTATCTTATTAGCAGTTCATGGTGCTGGCACTTAAACTCTCCTCCAGCATCACATTTCAAGTGGGTTAATTTTCCTCCTGTCAACTTTCTTCACTATCCAGCTTTCACAGTGATACATAGAAATTGGATTTACAATGTCATAAAGTTAGACCAGGGCCATGGTGGCACAGCAGGTTAAACTGCTAAGCTGCATAACTTGCTGATCAGAAGATCAGCGGTTCGAATCCACAAATGAAGTGAGCTCCTACTGTTAGCCTCAGCTTCTGCCAACCTAGCAGTTTGAAAACATGCAAATGTGAGTAGATCAATAGGTACTGCTTCCGCGGGAAGGTAACAAACAGCACTCTATACAGTCATGCCAACCACATGACCTAGGAGGTGTCTACGGACAATGCCGGCTCTTTGGCTTAGACATGGAGATGACCATCGTTCCTCAGAGTCAGACTTGACTAGATTTCATGTCAAGGGGAAACCTTTACCTTTAAAGTTAGCCCATCTTGATTTTGGTATTCAGTGACAAATTTGTCTCATTCCTTCACTGCTGCACCTTCCTAGTCCTGGTCTTCTCATTTCTTAACTACTGTCTCTGTTTTGATTAATGGCTGAACCAAGGTATAGGAAATCTTTAACTACTTCATTGTTTTCATTGTCTACAGTTATGTGAAGTATCTGTAGCCATTGTTTTGTTCTTTTAATGTATGACAAAGTTGCTCCTTTGCTTTTGAAGATTAGTGGTGTCATTTCAATCCAACTTCGTGTTTATATCTATATTTTCAACTAGAAGTACTCAAGTAGGATTGAAAGATGATAGCAGCATGTGATGATGAGGATGGTGGTGAGGATAATGATGAGGAGTTGTTGAACTAAGATTCAGAAAGGAAAGGATCTTCTCAGTGGTGATGGCTAGGATTTTAGCATTCCCTTCCCGGGATGGTTCATTTGTCCCACCCAAACACTTTTTCCCATCCCATAATTTGATGGAGATGTTTGCTTTCTAGCATGTATGTGGCCTGATCAGTTTCTGACTATATGATTTATAACAGTCACCATGAACAGATGGTTGGGAAACACACAACCTTTCTTTTTTTTTTTTTTTTTTTTTTAAATTTTTTTTTATTAATTTATCACTTTATTACATACTATTACATTTTGTACATCAA